TTTCTAATTACTAATTAAGGATAATGAATTTCATATGATGTAGCTTTATTTTAAAGAAAGGAAGAAACTGTTTTTTCAAGCTAAATACAGTTGAAGATGGGTGTCTTTTAATAGTATAAAAATGTTGCTTTTGAGATATATCACCAAATAATATTTTTTGGTGAAGATATGATGTTGGGACTACAACAATATGCAGGGCATCTTTGTTCTAGCATTTCAAGCATCGGTAGAGCAATAACAGATATTTTAAGCTGATATGAATGTTGTAAATTCTGAATGGTTTTGTATCTACTGAACTTATTTGTGAAAAATTAAACACTAAGAATCCAGGACTTAAGACAAAGCTGAAGTTCCAGTCTGGAAGCTGTTCTGACAGGGGATGACTCAAAATTATCACCCTGTCAAGACAATTATATTGCCTTGTATGTTTTATTTAGGAAAACTTTTTGTTATTAAAGTATGTCATAGCAATAAGACACCTTGCTCTCTATGCTGTCATTTAGTCCTGGTTTAGTTTATAGACATTAATGTTCCATCAGAATATGTTAAGCATAAATTAATACAGGTTTGACATTCTATGCATGTAATACTAGGTCATCCTGCAGCTGGTTGAGGAAACACAGGACTGTAGGGTCCTTAAGTCTGCTTCCCAGTACAGCCCTTGAAAATTTATTGTGTCAAGCTCTATTTTAAAATGAATGTGAGTTTTTCATCTGAGTATTTTTCTCATTTTAAAGCTGATCACAGAACCATATCTACAATAGTAATAAATTTCGCATAAGTTCCGATTTTGCTGGTGAACAGCCATCCTAATATTGTCCTTTAGCTGCAATGATCCTTGGAGGGCCCAGGTCTTACCTGAGTGGTGTAGAGTATCTAGAGAGCGATTGCTCCTCTTTTGGTTTTCTTTTTGCAAGACTAACCAGGCAAATTTTTGTTAGTCTCCTCAATGATACATGGTTCCTACTTCATTGAGTAGCCTTATGGTACTTCTCTTTTCCTCATGCCATTTGAAGTTACTAAAATGGGAGAATTGTGCGTAAAATTTCAGAGTAGCTTCTTGAATGGTAAGGTATTCCTGGGGGAATGAAGAAGTGTTAAAGCCATCTAATGCATTCCAGGGCTGTGGGAAAGGGTCTGAGAGAGAGGGAAAAGCTGAGAAAATAATGAAATTCAAACTAACCAGCATTCACTGGGGACCCAGAAAGGGATTCAGCACTGATGGGGAAAATATTATTTGCGAATGCTGAAGGATTGCTTCTGAGAATGCTTTAGAATAAACAAGTGTGCCGCAGAGGAGAAGAATACGCTGTGATATCTCTGGTTATGATTAGGAACATTTGTCTGCAGTATTTTGTTCACTGTACAAAGCTGCTGTTGAATCATGCTCTTGCTGTGTTGTTACATACATTACAGTGTGTTTACATGCCTTGCAATAGTTGGGATGAATGCTTCACTGGAAAGCTGGTCTTTTTAATGTGGAAGACTTGAATCAGTTTTCATTTTGCAAATGCTTAGGAAATTGTATGGCTTCTGTCAGCTCACCCTGACTTATGCAGTGATAACCAGACTTCTTAGGGCAGGTTATGCAACCTAACTGTCCTTAGCACCCCCAAGCAGAAACTCAGAATGGGACCAAATAATGATATTTGAGGCCTCATCACACTGTCACAAGCAGTAGAGTTACCACAGTCAAAACAAGTTAAAGAAAGCTGGAAAGTAGGACTAAAGCAGTCAGCCTCACTTCAGTCCCACGAAAGGTGGGATATCCACCCTTGGTGATATTGAACAGCCACCTCAACACAGTCCTGGGCCACCTCTTCTCTCTGATCCTGGTTTTGAGCCATGGGGTTGGTCCAGAGCTGCCTTCCAACCTCAGTGATTCTATGCAAATCAGGATTTTAGTAGAGTCTCCAGTCAAAAGAGCTTTTTAGATCTGAGCTTTCTGGCTCAAGGCAACAATCAAGAATAACTTCATTGTAGATAAATACGTTTGTGCAGTGGGCAAAAATTAAAACACAGAAAATACCATCCAAACAGAAGAGCACACATCCTATATATTCTTCGTGGTCACTCAGAAAGTTGTGAATTGTATCTTTCTTAACATCTGCCACAATAAATGGAAAATATTACTAACTTGTACTTTCTTTGATTAAGGTGGTATATGCAAAAATATAGTGAGTAATACATCAGGTTAATAGTATGCCTGTTATCATTCAAGAGCTCTCAGGCACTTCAAAATTACTAATTGACTAATAAATCTAGAAGTAATTAAGCCTCATAAAAGTGACTTGTTTACTATATCTTAATGAGAGTGAGAGCTGAATTTTTACTTGCAAGGAGACAGAAAATTGTGTATATAACAAAGTAATTTAACACTGAGTTTTTTTTGTAAGCATATCCTGAAGGCATGTTTACATGGGTTTATATGGACATGTAATTTATTTTATTAATTTAGCTGTAAATGAGAATGTCTTTCCTCTTTTTTCCTTTTTCTGTTATCCTGTACTAATTTTTTTTTTAATTTAACACTTGTGTTATTCCTTTGTCATAGTTAATGCATGAAATATTTCCAATGCAAAGAGCAAGAAAACCAAGTGGGAACATAGAAGAAGAATGCCAAGAGAGACATAGTCAACAGTTAAATGTTGTGCTGCATTCATGCTCTAAAGTTTAATTGTCCATATATTGTGTAGCAAATACAATTCATGCCTTTCAGCAGATGGAAACACTGAGACAAAGATATGAAATAATTTATTTCAGTTAATCAGGCAAGAGCTAGTAATGGAAGTGGAAATAAAATGCAAATCTACTTGCCTCTGCTTGTATGTTTAGGCTCAGAGCAGGATAGATTTAGTGTAGTATGATGATGAGTTGGCCAATCTGTGAGAGATATTGAGGACAAGGGGGTGATCAGTGCTGTTTAAGCAGGAGGCACCTGATAGCTGAGGGTTTACACGTGTGTGCCCTGGTAGGATGATCTGACTGTTTCATTTTCTGAAGGAGAGTGATGAGATGTTCCTGCCAACTTCCAAGTGTACTTAGCTGGGGTGGAATGGCTTTGGCTGGACAGAAACATATCATAGCATGAGTGTAGACTGGGAAGAGCATCACCACAGAAAGTTGTCCGTGAACATAAAGGAGCTTTTCTGGCAGAATACATGGTCACCATTGCGTCCACCTGTGTGATATCAGGAACTTTATATACATAAAAATAATCTGAAATGTACAAAGCACCAATTCCACATTCAACATGCAGGCACTCAGAATTATTCTTGATATCTGTCTAAGTGGCTTTAGTTCAAGTTATTATCGATTGCTGGTGTCCACCAACTTTAAAAGCAGTAATTGACAAGATGGGAATGAGGTGCACAACTTCAGAAGTTAACCAGTATGTCTCAGAATTCATTGTACAGATCAGAAAATCTGTAGTGTCATGATGGCTCTAGAAGCGTAATATTGTAAATACAGATCTGTGTATAATCTTTCCATAATCATATTGGGAGTTTATTATTTTGGTTGATATGAAGGGAAAATGGATACTTACAACAATGATGGGTTGATGAACTTTAATTTCTCTCCTGTTTAGAAATCTGTTTTGGGGAACTATAACATGAATATTATACTTGAGACAGCAGAGGCAGAGCTACAGAGAAGTGATTGAAATAAAAATGATACAGTATGTTAATTCAGGGGAAATATTTGCCATTTATTTTTCTTGTAGCAAAATTTAAAATGGTAAGAAAAGGTAGAAAGAATTTTGCCTTTCATATGAATCTATGAATACTTTTTAAAATGTGTGTATTTGTGGGAGTAAGGTAAGGGAGTGTACAATGAAAACATTCAGTCATCTCCCTTTCTTTTAATGACACATGAGTGTGGGATAGATTATGAAGAAGAGATAATGTCCTTAAAAGTCAGTCTTCTCTCAGATTGACAGCAACCCAAGTTTATATGCTTATTCATGGTAATTAAGTACATGTAAATTTTGAAATACATGCACTCACTGGGCAAATTGAAGATTGCAACCAACATAGTTAAAATTATAATTTGTGCTTTAACTATTATGTTCATAGGTGTATGTCACAAGCACTTGCCAACTTTTGACCTCAAAATACCCTGTACGTTATTATTAGAGATGGAGATCCTGAGAGGACAACTGAACTATGACTTTCATACGGGAGTAGCTGTAATCCATGTTAGGTTGCTCTGTGTACCCATGGAAGGACATTTAACGTCTCCTGTGTGAAGGAAACTGCTTAAAGTTTATTTTTATATGGCTTGTAACAGCAGCATGGAAAAAAAATTATATTTCTGCTATCTGTGAAGCGTAAAAGCAAACTTTGAAAACCTCTCAGTGCTTAGATCAAGCTAATCTGAATTTTACTAAAAATTTTTCATTTGAAGTTTGTCAGATACAGGTTTTGTGGACACAGTAGTTTACATGGTATGGTAAAACGTCCTTGGCATTCCTTGGCAAGTTCACTTGGCATTCCTCCTTCACAGTTATTCCTTTATTCTCAGGGATAAGGTAAAGTGTTTATTTTCTGGGCAGACTACACCATATAAGCTGTAAGCTGGAGAACTGTGATGTAAATGCATAAAAGAGCAAGGCACAAAATAAATTTATTGGGCTAGAGTAGTTAATGAAATTACTGTTTCCATCCTAGAGCAACCTCAAAAAGGTTTTTACATGTGGCACAACCAATTCAGCTGTGTGTAGAGCTTATATTCTATAGGAAATACTTGCTGGGCTCCATCTTTTTATAGCAATGACTTAACAGGTGCTTCAGTGGATTTTGGCTTAGAGATATTTGTATATATTGGCATGTTGTATAACATTGCATCTTATTACATCGGATAGATTTGTGCTTGAACAATAAAATGTCTGAAGCTTTTTCACTGTCTTTTTGCCATCTTAATTTCAAGCTGCTCTCTCTATGATCATAAAAAATGCACTAAAATCGATGCTATGCTTGTCTCTCTTTTATTCTCCACAGCAATGGAGTTTCATGAAAACCTGCACAATATAGGAGCAAGAGAAGGCCTCAAAGAAAGAAAACTGCAAAAATCAGTAGAAAGTTTTACGTGGAACATTACAATTTTAAAGGTAATGTGTCTTCCTTTGATTAGTTCCTGTATTTTTCTTTTCAAATCTGTCATTCCAATATTGTTACTGGTCATTACTCTGTGTCACAGTTCAACTGAATTTATTCACTTCTATAATCATAGTCAGTTTAGTTTATATAATCTGAAACCCAGCAGAGTCTCAATGTGACTTGCTATTCTTGTGTAGTCTTATGGAAGCTTATTTCATTTAGTTTTTCTGACATTTTCTTCTTGCAATCTTTTAACATTGGCAGGATCATTGGTAATCTTTACTACATGGCTGAAACAATGAGTGTTGACTTCTGCAAAGTGGCTCAGGCTGGAAGGAAGCTATGCCAGCGTTTAAACCCTGTTTTGTGATTTGAAAGGGAGTAAATGCTAAGGTTAATGCAGTTACTGAAAAACAAAAGGGAAGCTGTTACAGCTGCAGTCAGTGATGAATGGTGATTAATGGTAGAAGCAAATTATGTTCATAATCCAGGCTGAAATAAATTGAGCTATGAGCTGGAGACTCTCTTTACATTTTGTCGAGCGTATTTGCTTACATTTTGATGAAAGAGTAAATGGTGAAGTGTAAGAAAAGCTTTCAGCCCGAGACTCTCAGGAAACTAGAACGTGCAACAGTTCAGGTTTCCTATCAGTGGTCTTTCATTTCAATAGAGTATATCAAAATTTGTAGCGATAGCAAAACTGCCTCCCTTAATTTATTCCCTCGACACTTTTCTTCTAGCTCAAATTATTCAAGTTTTGTGTTTACATCCACTAATGAGTTCTTCTCTCCCACTCAATCAAATACTTCTTCACTACAATAAACTATAAAGTCTGCTTTAATTATAAAGAAAATTATTTTCTCCCACCTAGTTTTTATTTTTAGTTCTTTTTAAATATGCAGTTCTGTACCGCCTCTTCTCACAGTGAACTATGACAGAAAAGCAGTAATGCATATGTATTTCTCCAGCTTTCCATGTTGGTTTGAACTGTTAAGCTTTTCATGATGTTGCTTGGTGCTCCAATCCCTCTTGTGTTATACTGCACAAATCCATTGCTGAGGAGAGTCAAAAAGTGGTGAAATTTGCTGCAGCATGTACAGTTAATACATTCTAAAAATATGCATGCAGGTTCTGCCTATAGGTAAAGGACCAGAATATCACATTTCCTGTATCAGAACAGAGTTTCCTGAAGACAGTGTATGGGATGTGTCATGTATCAGTCCTATGCTTCCAAGAGGATAGAGTCAGTTCAGTAGCTTTGGGCAAATGTCAAAGAAATAAATTCTTACTCCATCCTTTCTGTCAAAGGTGTCAGATATACCAGCTTGGATAGGCAAACCTATTTTAATGCTGCCTGAAACAGCAGTACCTTTGCTTCAACTCTGCTTTACATTCTGAACATAAGGGTTGGTGGTGGAGGGGAGGTTTGCAGTTGGTGAGTGACTGAAATGTGAAGTCGTGATTTCTGCGTTAGCCAGGAATTGGAGAAGCCACATGGCAGCTCTGGCTTTGAGGAGCACTGAAGGGCTTGTGTACATGTCCTTAGGATTAATGTAATTATGAAGTTAGAAAGCCTGCCTTTTGAAGAGATTATTGAGAAAATGTCTTCAGCATTGACTCGGTGGTGTTATTCTATTCAGAGATTAAGATCTTTTCTTTAGGAAGATAAAATTTGTCCCATAAGTAATATTGTAGTTAAAAACCTGATGAGATTTTAATCAGCTTGTTGTTGAAACTTTAACAGTAGGCATTAAAGAAAGTTCTGCTATGTTGTTTTTAAAGTAATTTACAATACATATATATGTAATTACATAGATGACATTTTAAAAGTAATTTGCAGATACTGCAGTTCAGATAGGCATCTGCTAAGTGCTGTTACTCACGTTTAGATGTACAGAAAGTTAAAGGCTGAGATTTGTTTGAAGTGGCATACTGAGGTTTTTCACTCCTAGCTCTTTAACTGTGGGCTATAGCCATCCTCTCGTGTTGTATAATTAAGCAGAAGTTAAACAGTTTCTAAGACACTACTCTTCCTGTCTGGAGAAAAAGATCTGCAATCATAATTTCAATCTGTCTTTCCATTGCCATGTTCCCAGTTCTCAAAAAACGATGAGAGAGCAGGGATGAAAAGCGAATGTCCGCATTTTTTTTAGTAGAAATTGAGCAGAAGAGCAACAATCTGAACCACTTTAGGAATTTTTTTTATGTGTTGAATTCCCTGCCTTTTTCAAATTAACTTCCTTCTCAAATAGTACAAAAATCCATGTGGAAATACACAATAAATACATGGACTCTTGGCTGTGATACAGGAATTATTGTGTGGCTCTGAACAGCCTTACTAAATAATCTTACATGAGTGCCGTCCTCAGCTCCTGCCCAGAGGACTCATGGAATGCTCACATGGTGTGGCTAATATATTTTCCAAACTGATCAAGTTGCATTTTACCCTCGAGATACATATTGATTGTTCTCTTTCAATTGGGACATTTTGACTGCAGTTGATGCAATGGAAAGTTCAACAAAATAACAAAATCGACAGCTTAATTCTAGGGAAACTTTGTTTAGAACATCTGATGCAGTTATTAAGTATCTCTATCTGTTTTGCATGCACATGCATTACAGATATGGTTTTAAAGGATTTAATTTTTCTTAATTTGAAGCCATGTGGCCAAATTTATTATGAGTATAATATGTATTAATTCAGCTGAAATAGTTCCATCTGATTTGTGTATGTGTATATGCACACATGCCCATTCTTATTCACCCCATATATGTATACAGAGATATTTAACTTCACAACATCACTTAGATTAAATTTGGACTGTTGGCCGATTTAGAGATTGTAAACTGCTAGGATATTAATCTCTTTCAAATAGACAGTTATTTGCTAGTAATTTATTTATTGTTTCTACTTAGGCTGATAGAATTAATATTTTCTATATACAGATAATCACATTTTCTGCCAAAACTACACTGTTGAACAAGGAAAACCACGCTTAAGTACTGTTGCAGCAGACTCCTACAACCTATTGTAAAAATTTATGGACTTGCCTGAGATGGAAAAACTTTGAGAAAAGCCCTCTGTAAGGCTCAGAATTTGAGATGCCCTAGGAAGAACATAACAGCATCTGTAAATTAGTCTTGGCAATGGAGAGCTGTTCTAAACAACAGAGGGAGAGGTCAATTGAAGTATTTGGAATGAATGTGGTACTCGTAACTTCAAATAATATATTTATAAATGGAACATTCAAGGCACTTACAGGACTGCAGCTTCTTACTTTTTAAAAAATAATCTGAACTTTTTAAATTAAATCTCCAAGTGAATTCCAGCAGCCACGGAGCATTCATAAAGCCTCTGATAGTTGCTGCCTGGTTCTGTAGGTCCTCAGAAGGCATCTCAGTTCAGTTTAAATATCTGAAGCTACTAGACTCTTGATGTTGCTGGACTGATGGGATTTTGGCTCCTAATTAACTCCTTATTTAGAAAATAGAAGGTTAAGGCCTTTATGTCCTGATTCCAAAACTGTACTCAGAGCATGTCAGCTGGGGATGGAACATTGTGGTGTGTCACAGAATAATAGAATGGCTGGGTTGGAAAGAACCTTAAAGATGATCAGTTTCAACCCCTCTGCCATTGGCAGGGCCACCTCCCACTCAACCAGTTTGCTCAGAGCAATGTTCCATTGTACTCTGAGGAGCACTTTGAGAAAGGGATAATGGCTTCTTACTTTTCCTGATAGGAGCTTCGGGTTCCAGATCCTGAGCTAAAGACCAGTCATTAATGATAGAGTTTCTTGGGATTTTTGGGGGGAAAGGGTGCTCTTGCAGTTATTTCAAATGTTATCTGTAAAAATTTATTTTCAGGTTCACACACCTAGTGAAGAACCAGTTAATCAAAAATCATGAGTGAATACGTAACAGCTTATGAAGATAGCTGTGCTGAGACATTCTAGTTGATTCTATATCCAGCTGACTCTGAAATGGTACCTCACTTTGGATGTACAAGAACTGATAGGAACCATTTTTGGTTTGTTTTCTGTTACTGTTAAGGAGCTATGATATAAAAACGCTGCCTCTTAGCCAAAAGTTTCAAAACAAACAGAATGTTTTTAACAATGATTTTTGAAAAATAGATCAGACTAGATGGCATGGGCATATTGGGCCAGAGAGGCTTAAAGGGTACTGGATTGGGCTTCCAAATTAATCCATATTCTTTATTGCTACTGTTTACTAAAAGAATTTGAATGAATATCAGTTTTGTTCTTTGATCTTCTTTAAGGTATTTTTTAATGTTTGCCTAGAAAACACCTTTTTCTGAAGCCTGTAAACATGAAATATTCAAGTTACATAGTGCTCAGTTCTGTAAGTGAATTTTAACCATGGTGAAGGAAAGGGGAGCAGTGGTTGCTGTGTGCTGCTGTGAGGAGAGTGCTCTCCCAGTGCTCTTCAAGGCCTAGATCCATCCTACTCCCATTTGGGAATTACCACAAGCTGCCTGTTAACCACTGTGCTGGAAGTAAATTCAAGTTTTTTAGTGTGCCTGCCAGACAACACTGAAGACTAAATTAATTTACATTTTGACTTAATCTGAGATGAAAGCCTGGTGAAGACAGCCCTTCCACACAGCAAGAAACACTCTGGTTTGCTTCTGCAACTGCTTCACTTCCCAGCATTGAGTTCTCTATGCAAACCAGCTTTGTTTCTTGGAATTTGGTTTTTTCGGTGCTCCCTTAAGATAAATCTTCTTGCCTAAAGTTTCAGCTCTTTGTAGGTCTCTTGTATTGACTTTACAATATGCATTTTATCAGAGCAAGTTGCTACAGTCATTTGGGTCTGCTAAGAAGGTGAAAGACCCCTGAGTAGTCCACAGATCCGATAGATTCCCATGTTCCAGCTTGCAGTCGACTGACTTTGCTATGAAGTCAACAGAAACTACTGTGAAAATCAGTATGCATAAAATATAAAGAATTGAAACTGAATCTTGAGAGCCCTTGGAGAAGAGACATTTGATACCTATCTAGAAAGAAAGTATTTGCGATTGTTTAATTGAGTGTGTGATGGCAGTTTTTTTTCCAGATCTGAATGACGTTAATTTTTCTGTCTTTCCGATGCACTGTGTTATTTTTCAATAGTGTTCATTGTGACTACAACTTAAATTTTTGATGTGCATGCTGTTTAATTTCCCCAGTACATGTCTTCATGATGGCATATCAACAGAACTAGGTACTTCACACAAATTGTGCAGAGCTCTCTCACTTGAGCTCATGGCATTCTTCGTAGCAGTGGATGGCTCTTGTTTTATCTTGAGATCAAGACATACCAGCAGATAATGACAGCACAGTTGGTTTCACAAATATTTTTCTGAGTTCCATGGCATTCAGAAATAAATACTGAGAATTGGAGAAGAAAGTAATGAGACCTGATACATTTTTCTATTTCATCCTGGTCTGAATATGATACCGCTTGGTCAACTGTGTTTACTCTGAGCACCTTGTCTACAATAATCCAGCCCTTTATCCTAGATCCTCTTTTGTCTTCAAAGTTCATCTTCCCTGATTGGAATCATCCAGACACTCACAGTTCCCTGCTGCAAACCAACCATTCCTGCCAACCCGTGATTCCTTCTTCCCCGCTGTCCTACATCCCCTATTCTGTTCCCACTTGGTCCCTAATATTTTCTTCTTCCTCATTGCCACATCTATGAGTGTTAATTTTCATTTTCTCATCACCTTACCCAATTCATTGCATTCAGCAGCCTTCTCCTTGCTCAATGTTTTTGTTTTTCTTTCTCACCAGCTTTTGTTCTCATTACCAATCTCTCACTCTTTTGAGTTGCTAGTCCTTCTACTTGTATATAATTTTCAGTCTACTTTCAATGTGGTGAATTGTTGATCTGTTTTCTTTCTGTATTCCAATCCCAAATGATGCCTCAATCTTTCCCTTTCTCTGCTCACCTGTCAGATCCAAATTTAGTGTTGTTGCACTTTAGTGTTTGTGTTTCACAATCTCCTCTTGCAGTAAGATCTAGCATTTGCCTTGTGTAATGCAGTCCAGCTTCCCTTTCTGCAGCCCTAGGCTTCTTGCCAGGTCAGTCCCAGAGATTGCTCTTGTACCTTCCTTTTCCCCATCCACCTCTTCTCCAGAGTCTGTCTCAGGCTCTTCCTTCTTCCCCTCTGCTCTGGCTTTTGGACTGCCTGCATTGGCAACCCAGTGTTGGTGACTTGGAGAAACCATCCAGGAAAAAAAAACAACTTTTTCCTAATGCACATTCATTATTCTGTGGGAATGGAATACACATTGTCTTGCCACATTGCTGGAGCTGTCAAGAGATGAAGGATGATCAAGAGTGGAATCCTGAGTGATTGTACTAACCACATTCAAAATCTGATTTTCGTTTATTAAAATCTCATAACTTGGATTTACTGCCCTGTAGTCATTTGAATTGCAAGTCTCTACCCCAAGTGAGAGTAGGGAAGGAAGTATAGAAGATTGTTAACAAACTTCTGATGACATTTCCACATCTGTATCCTCAGAACTGAATGAGGCATATGGATGAGGTTAAAGAATAATATTAAACAGAAATAATAATAAAATCTACCAAATCTGCCAATGGCAAGAATCCTGCATAGAAAGTATCAGCTTAAGTAGTTAAAGTTTGGCAAGCATATAAGAAACTGAAAGCAGAAGTGTTTTTGTAACTGAGAAGTTTTGGGAAACCTTATTAATAGACTGTTTGCTAGCAGCTCTGCCTATAATAAACAACTTGATTAAAATTCCAGAACTATATTCAACTAATCCATGTAAAACAGAACTTGAGCTAGAAACAGATGCACTCCAGATATGACTCATGTAGTGTGCTCTGGTGTTTTAAATTAGCTTTTGGTTGTTTGTTAGTTTGGAAAAAAGTATGTGATTTTTAGAAAAAGTAGCCCTGGTTTTCTTTAGAAGAAAATATTACTGAATCTTGTGCTGTGATTAATGATATTCTAGATTTTTTCCTCTCTGGTGATCAGAAAAAAAGACTTTGGCTATTGTGGTTTTGGGTAAGGGGAGGGGGGACATTTTTTCTTTGAAGAAAGTAGTATTTGTTTTCAATTTGAGTGTCTCAAATACGTAAGTGTGCTCACTTCACTGGATAGTATTTATGTTTTGAGTTGCTAAAGAAGGATCAGAAATATCACACCATGAGTGCACACATGGTTTTTTCTGACTGCTATTCTCTCTCTACTCCTGTATTTTTAAAAATGAGAGGTAAAGATGGATTTCAACCTCATTTGGCAGGGGAGAGGCAACATACTATCTTTGGAAGAGGTATTAGCATGTCTTCAAGAGAAGTGTCTGTCAGGAGAGAGACTTTACCCAGGTTGGACAGAGATGACAGGAGAAGGGGCAATCAGTTTTTATACCTTATTGGACACTGGTCACTGGACACTGGTCCTGGCAGTCTCAAGGAACTACAGTACCTGGACATTTTGTGTGTGTGTGTGTATTCTTCCCCTTCAGGTATGAATTTCTCTCCTTCAGGTATTTTTCTGTGAGCTGTGGAGCAGTTCTCTCTCAGGAGCACGGGCATAGCACAATCACTTTGCCCCATGCAGACTTGCTGCTCTTGTTTTTGAACTTTTCTGTGCCCACCAGCAAGACAGACGTGCTCACCATGTGGTACAGCCTTGCTCATTCACTGCAAGTGGGCAGGGATGGCAGATACCAGCTGCAGGGAAGGCTGTCCACAGTCTGCCAGTGTGAGCTGCTGCTGTTAGAGGGCTTTGATCAATACAATGAGATGGAGGAGTGTAGAACAAGAGCCAAATCACCTAAGCTTGGGACAATTTCTCTTACTGCTTTGCTTATAACTTAATTACTATGAAGAGGAAGAGTGATGTGGCTCTTAAGGATGTGGTTTAGTGGTGGACTTGGCAGTGTTAGATTAATGGTTGGACTTGATGGACTTAAAGGACTTTTTCAACCTAAACGATTCAGTAATTCTGAAGAGGGATAGCAATAGTGCTGAACTGCAGACAGCCCTGTGAAGTCTTTGTCATCACTGTCCTTTTTATGTTGCTCCCCGGTCTGTGTTTTCATATTTCATGCATTGACAAGCATTGGTCCTTTACCATCCTACTATTGAGTGAATCACAATGCTAAAAAAAAAAATTCCCTAGGAACCAAAACAACCAGGAAAGCTTTAAATGGCTCCTTGAGGTATTAAAATCAATCATCACAATTTTCATTATGCAGAAACATTTATAGTCCCCATGGATTAAAAATACAGCACAATTACTTTCTTGAAAACTGTTAGGCAGGAATTACCCATACCCCATTGCTTATGCCACCAATTGGCTTCTGAGAAAGCAAAGAGCTTGATTCTTTCTAATACCAAATAATCCATATTTGAGTTTTGATTTGGTTTTTGAGGAGTTTTTTGTTTGTTTCATTGGTTGATTTGGTTTTGGGTTTTGGTCTTTATTTTAATTTCTAATTTTTTTTTTTAAGCAGGACAACTATACTTTTAATCTGAAACAAGCAGAAGGGTAAAAGAGAAGAGAATGCTGTTATCAAGTGTGTATTCTAACTGCTTTTTTTTTTTTTCCTTACAGGGACAAGCTGATCTTCTCAAATATGCTAAAAATGAAGCACTGGAGAATCTGAAGCAAATTCATTATGCCACTCTTTCATGTGGACTTAATAAGCCAGGCACTGAAAATGCAGAAATCTCAAAGCCTCGTCGAAGTCTGGAGGTCATACCTGAAAAAGCAGGTGATGAAAACGGAGAATGAGAGAAGGCTCTTCTCGTAATTTTGGAGTTTATAACTCTGTGACCAATTGTAGCTGCATAGGACATTTGCTTTGCACTTACTGTTGGAAAATATTCGGAATTTTTAAAGCACAACTGGAGAAGCTAATTACAATCTATTGAAACTGTGAATGTATGTAGCAACTCTGCTTGTGAAGGCAATGATTTTGTGTAACATGGAAATTACATTATTGGCCTAAATATAGCATATATATGTAAAAGATACTGTAATTCAGTAATCGCGTGCTGAGAAGTTCATTGAAGGAAATGAACATTTTTTTAAATGAGATGTAACTAGCAGGAAATCAGTTGACAGAATTTGGAAAGAGGCCTTGGTGTTCAAACCAATTTGATGCAAAGGTTGTTTCTTTCTTTGCACAGTTTGTTAATTGTGCTAGTGAGATATATTATTCTTTTGGAAATCAGGTCAAAAAAAGGAGGAATCCACATGTTTCATACTATATGTAATTCAGCCGCTTGGATATTTCGGTTTGAAGTGGTATTGATTTTATTGTTGAGCCATAAATTAAAATGAGAATGTAATTAGACAGTGATCACTGACTTCAGTGCACTATAGGAGAGCCATTATGTAAAAGGAAAATGTGCAATCAATCTGATAGCCTATGTCAGAAGAAGATACATGCCTATTTTGCCTAAGATCTTCTGCAAATGTGTGTAGATAATGTGACCAAACTGCAAGCAAAATGATGTAAATAGTTTTTCATTTTGTGAAGTGAAGTGCTCATATTAAAAAGAGTTTTATGAGATTGCTCCCAAACAAGTAAAGCTTTTAACTAAATTTTAACTTTTTTATTTTTTCAGTATTTTCTTCCTTACAGAATAGGTGATATCTCAATAAGCAGGTTTGTCAAAAAAATAAATCAATTGCTGTTATGATTGTGTTTTGGTTTTCTGACAACATTAGGTAAAGGTATTGTAGCTGATACGCTCATTTTAAAATGACTATACCAACCTAGAGTGTTCTCTTACTGTTTCCGATTTTATTTAACAATAAAATGGACTATATAATTACAGACGCTAATAAATTTGAAGAAAAACAAGTGAAATCCTACAGAGATCAAAATGCACTTTTTGTTCAGTTGTGGGGGACAAGGGAACATGGTGATGGTTGTTGAAAAGCATTGTTTTATGTAGAAGTCTTCAAGACATGCATTCTACATGGATTTTTGTTTTAACCAGTTCAAGATGCTCTTCCTGCTCTGAGAGTGTAATGAAATCTACATATGTATAACATCCTGTAGAAGTCAATAGAGCTGTGAACAAGAATGTTGTTACACTTGCACTTCATTGAATTACTAGGGACTTAATTTATTTTCTAGTTATTATAATATTAAAGTGGGGATGGGGCGGGATGAAAACAGTTTGCATAGTAAATGTCACATCTTGAGCCTGCACTTTTAAATGTCACTGTATGGGTTAGGAGCAGTTTTAGAAGGTGCTAAACTCTTTCAGTGTCTAGTTACAGACTGTGTGCCTTAGGATCTTGCCAGGAGTGAGTTCTGTTCTGTAGTACAAAATGAAGGATTTAACCTGTGGTAAAGAACTGCAAGTGTTGCTTTTCAGGCAGTCCTTTTCTGTGTTGGCAGCTGAAAGTCTTCTGATGGAACCTGAAGTTGATGGGAAGCAACTTGAAATTCATGTTGTTAACTGAATTCTGAGCCACTGTAAAATTAGTCTTCCAGGGCCAAATTTATCACATCTAAATCTGATTTAGACTTAGATTTAGATTTAAATTTATCTACAGCAAAACAACTGTGTTAGATCAAGATCCATCTGCACCATAAATATGCAAGGTCAGTTTCACTTTATTAGAAATCCCAAAACCTGGGCTGCTGGAATTTCATTTCTGACTTCTAATTGAAAGATGTAGTCTGTGGGAAAATGTCATCACTGTTCACATTATGCTTCAGAGAGACCTAAAAACCAGTAAGGCTCCTTTTGCAATCCTGCCCCAGCACTGTTAGCATGGCATTTACAGAACAACATAATTTATATCACAAATGAAGCATTTCTGTAGAGTCTCATCCTCCAAGCACATTATCAGAACTGATGTCTTGGGCATTCTTATCATTTATGTGTTTCTGTTTAGCACATTACAACCTGCACAGAGGTGAGGGAACATTGAAAGGGTTCAGCAGACTTTGATGGTTTTTCCTGTGTTTTAAGGCAAAAAATAGTAAGTGAAAAATTATTATCACACAGACAAGGGCTGAGAGATTTTGCATATGTAATTGTTGATTACAGAACTCATCCTGTTATACCTTGTTAAAAAGGAAGATAATATTTTTTGAGTAATATAGATACATAATATATCTTTTTTAAAAAGTTAAAACACATGCATTTAGCTAACTGACCCTTTAAATATGTTAGGATCTGTTTTTAGTGCTGCTTCCTTAAAAAGGAGGTCACTTTTGTGCATTATTCATGCTCAGTCCAAAACTGTACGTACCATAAAGTCTTAAAATGAGCTGAGTAGATAGTCTGAAACAAGATGTGTAGCTCTAAATAATGCGTCAGGAAGTTTACAGGTTGCATGTTAAAAGAGTTCAGGATAAACACTTGCAAGCAAAGTGTCTGGCTCTGTTGTAAGCCCAGTGATGCTGATTTCAACACCAAATATATATGTTTTCAGTTTTATTTTCTTAAAGCATTATTTGCATCCATATTATTAATTTTTTTTTACAATGTTTATTTTAGGTTATATAGAAAGATGCAACCAAGACCCAGGAAAATATTCAAAATAAAATTAATCACAGGTTGACTTTGCATTTTTTGGGGCCTTTATTTTCTTAAATGTGCTGTAATGCAGTTGAACTGTTTATGTAGTTTTAAACTGTGGAAGATTGACCCAAAGTATGAGTAAGTATTTGACTGCCTTTATAGCTTTTGTTTGGCTCCAATAATGATTGAATGAGTATGGGTATATGTCAATATATTGCTCAATTTAAAATTAAAGGGTAATTGAGAAAACAAAACTTCACATACAGATTAACCATATAGACACTACCAGTAATTTCTTTTTTTGAACACAAGAAAAAGGTTAAACAGTATCTGTTTGAAAAACGAGTACCTCTCTAAACCTCATCTGCATTCTTCCTCCCTTCCCCATCAGTTTTGCTTGGTGTGGTACATAGCAGCCATTGGATATTTAACCACAGAGCCAGGACCATGCCTCCCATCCTCTGTACTCACCAGCCAGCTGTAGCAGACAGCTCTGTTCTCCAGGCATTCCCCCAGCAGCACTTACCGAGGCATTCCTGAGCCCAGTGATGCCACCAAAACAGCGAAAGCCTGCAACGCAGAGCTGGGGGACAGGCTTTACTGTTGAAGCTGTGGCCTTTCTGATGTCAATGGTAGTCTTCTACACAGGCCAGTAGGACTGGGATTTAAGTGCAGTGTCACAAAATTTCCCCTTTTTCTCTGATCCTTCTTTCTTTTATACCTCCATGTTGTTCTGTTGCTGCAGCAAAGAATGCTAGAATGGTGCTCTGAACAATTTCACAAGCTGGCCCATGGTGAAAGATGCTGTATGAGTCAACCATTTTTTCAGCTACTTTGTAGAGCACAAGAATAATTTTATAAGACTCCATGGCTGGTTACTATATTCACTTTTTCCTGTTTTGAAGTTGAAACAGCAGAAAGAGATGATTCAGAGTTGCCAGCCTGAAAAATGGAAGTGAGTTCCAAAAATTTTAACACTGGTCTACTAATCAAATAAACTAATCTGAAAGGACCCAATCCTTCGCTTTTTCAGTGCTTGAGTATCCCTTCCATTTATAGGATTTCCTGATGTAGTTTTCTCTGGCATGGGTTTTAAAAATAATGCTGATTTCTTCTTGCTGTATTCATTTGCTGCACAGATCAAGGGAGCTCCTGAGTCTCCTGTGCATGATGTAATAATCTTCTAATAAGCTTTAGCCTACCTAGGTTTGCATTTGTGTTAATTGAAGGTTAAAAATGAATACAAAGAGTGATATTTGCAAGAAGGGTAATCATACAGCCATAATCATGGCACAGAGTGCCCTTGCAAAGGCATGTTCTTCACTGTGAAATCATTTTATGCTTCTATAGCTAAGAGTTGGAGTGCTGCTGCTGAAGGACAATGAGCCCATGGGGTTTTGATACCATGAGCAGAATTCTGAAGCTGGTGATGTCCCCAGCTAGCTTTTTTTGACTGTAATGGGTGTAAGACTTTACCACATTTTTTTTCTCTATTCACACCTACTCATTCTGACCAATTAAACTTTCTAAATGGAGTATTTAACAACTTGGTTTAAAGATTAATAGATCTGCTATCCTGTAAGGACCTGCAGTCTTTTGATCTCCTGTAAACGTTTCAATCAAACCCTCCACCCTCCACCATTCTCAACACCCCCTAATTCCCGTTGTTCTCAGGATTATGAAAGCAGCTGTGGGACAGATCAGTCTGATAATTTTCAAAACTAACCCATGTGATGTTCTTTAGTCATTACAATTTGTTTGTTCTCAATAAGAAAAAAGCAGTAAACTGCCTAAGCAAAACTCTTGAGGTTTTTCTAGTTATTTCTGTTTTAGGACCCTATTAAACTTCCCTTTCTGACTCATCACCTCTGTTCTGTGGGTGGCTGTGGAAACCCAGGGTAGCAAAAAGGAGCACAGCAGAAGTATTAGAAATAGGACTTTGTATACAGGAGAACAACAAGTCCTCACAGGCTTGGAGGAACATCCATTGTAGTCAACCAAGCTGAAAAGCACTTAAGGACAGAAAAGCAGCATTGAGGAATAGAAAGACCAGCAGAATTGGATGTTAAAAATAAATAAATTTGCCCAGAAATGTGTGTAACCAGAGGATGGCATGGTCCCACTGCCATCTTAACCCATCCCTAATGCCTCCCATTGGTTACTGGTACTTTGAGACAAAATATAGTGGGTCTTCCCCTTACAGTATATTCTGTTGTGGGGCAGACAGCAGTGATGCTGGGACAGTGGTCAGGTACAAACACCAAACTGTTAATTTCTCTTTTTGCGCCTAGATGCATCGACTGGTTTGGGGTTCATATTTTTGCCAGTTGAGCTCATAGGACTTCCAGTCCTTGAGTGCCAGTTTGGCACAGCAGAGTTGAGAGGGAGGAGGGTGTGTGTGTCTGTGAGCAGGAGGAGAGTGTTCAAGAGGTGGCATGGGAGGGTTGGTATGAAAGGAGGCAGCTTGAGCTGTGGTGGGAGTAGCACAACCAAACAGTGATTCAGCTGTCATGAACCTCTCCTGTTTGTCAAGAGCAATCCAGCCTCGTTAATCTATCTGCAGTCTGTAGAAGAGCTTTCTGAATAAGCTTGCGTGTTTAATTAGTTACCTCTTTTCCATGGAGATGAATGTGGGGGAGCAGAGGTTTTCTTGGCTGGCTGCAGCGTTGGCCTCTGCGTTGGGGACTGTCTGGGAGAGGGAAGCAGCACGGCCAGGAAACAGTGCGGGGACTGCGCTTTGTTCTCTGGCCCTCGGCTTCCTCCATCGATAAATTGGAGGAAATTACATCCACCACTTTTTAAAGTAGCAGGAGAAACATACTGTGTAATGGCAGAAAAAAATAACCCCCTCAGAAGGTGGCTAGGAGCGAAATAAAGTGACATGTAAACAAGTGTTTTGTGAGAAGGCAGCACTGTGTTCGAATGCTGTGTACATTGGGTTTCACTGGGTGCTGGTTTACAGAGTGCACTAATGCCTACATAGCTGTTCCCTGGCGTGTACTTCTTAAACGTGCTACTGATTGGTGAAGAGAGTTTTGAAATACAAATCCTATCAGTTGATTACATACCAAGCATGTCCCAGGTCCTGGAGTGTTCCAATATTTTTCCTGTCTAGTAATAGCCAAAAAGAATTTGTTACACTCTTATAATGCAGACTTTATGCTGTGGCTCATGGCATGAGCACTTCTTTTATTCTCAGACATGCTATTCTGTGGATAAAAAACCCCAAAACTTCACAGAAATTTTAGAAAAAGCCTCAGGATTCAGGTGTCTCTGTTCTGAATTCCTGAATTGGTGATAACTGCTGTGATTTGGGTATGTCCTT